CACATCCGCGTATAAAAATACACTGAAACTGCAGTAAGGTTGTCCACAGCACCAGACTGTAGTCCACTCCACCCTTTCAGGTCCTCAGATCCCAGGTCCAGCAGTAAAGATTCAGTTTTATCTCTTTCTTCAAATATATCCAGTTCTCAAAGTCAGTGAAATGTATGTTCATTCTTTCCTGCTCCAAGGTAGAGTCACAAATCAGTTGTTTATGTGTGCAAGTCTGTTTCTGGGCTATCATGGTCCAGTGGCCCATCTATCTATATGTATATCAATAGTATGCTTTCTTTTTGTACTGTAGACTGAATCTAGGGTCTCACATATGTTAAGCATGTGGTCTATCACAGAACTATGTCTATGGCCTTGTGTGAGTCATAGTACATGTCTTAGTATCTGATAAAGCTAGTGTTTATATCTTGGTCCTCTTTGGGAATATCTTCTTGGGAAGCAGTGAGATGGCTCAGTGGGTAAAGGCCCGGCAATGTCAGTCTAATACCCAGGACCTATGAGGTGGAAGGGGAGAAGGGGAGAACCAATTACTGAAGTTGTCATCTAACCTGTACACATGCACTGTGGTACATATGTACCACACATAGAAACACACACACACACACACACACACGCCTTCTCTATTTTCACATACCTTCTTTCTTTGGGTTAGAGACTGCATCTCACACTGTAACCCACATTGGGCTTGAACTTAGAAAAATCCTCCTGCCCTGACGTCTTAAATGTTGCTATGACAGGCATGAGCCAGCATGTCTGACTTCAAGATTGTTCTGATATAGTCAGTTTTTCACACTTTGGGAAAAAAACTTTCAGTGTTGGATTGTGATGCTGACCTATAGTTTCCAATCTCGTTTTGCCTTTGACTGATTTTATCAAAATAGTTCTGGCCTCATACAATAAGCATCCTTTCTTTTCCCACTTTCTGGAAACGTCATATGGAATTTAAACGATCTGCACTGTCTTTTTTGTTACCAGTCTAGCCTTTAATGGCTGAGCCATCTTTCCAGCCCATGATGCACACTTTAAAAGCTTTGAACAACTTCAGGTTATTTTTGTTTGCTCAAAATTTTTTCCCAAGGAAGGATCTTCTTATGTAGACCAGGCTAGCCTTAAGCATGTGACCCTCTTTTAGCTTTCCAACTCTAGGGATTATATGTATATGCTACCACTCCTGGCCATAACATCAGTTTCTTCATTCCTTTCTTTTTTTTTCCAACATATGGTCTCTGTGTAGCTCTGATTGTCCCGTAACTCACTCTGTAGACTAGGCTGGCCTTGAACTCACAGAGATCCTCCTGCCTCTGCCTCCCTCCAGTACTGGGATTAAAGATGTGTGCCACCATACCCAGCTTACTATTTTCTTTTTAAGACTTTAAGCTAGGTGTGGTAGTGCACAGCTTTAGTCCTGCACTCAAGAAGCAGAGGCCTCTTTGTCAGTTCTAGGCCAGCCTGGTCTACAGATTGAGTACTAGGACAGTCACCTGGAAGCCTGTCCCAAAACAGTTGAGAAACCTTGTAATAAAAGGCAAAGTGTTAAGAGTATTTTTTTCTGCATGTGCGTGTGCATCACATGCAGTGCCTGTGGAGGCCAGCAGAGGGTATCAGAACTTACTGGAATTAGAGTTTGACAGTTGAGCCATTTTGTGGGTTTTAGGAACAGAAGACAGGACCTCTGCAAGAACAGTCAGTACTTCTAACCACTGAGCCATCTCTCCAGCCCCTATGATGTCATTCTTAAAACTCTTCTTTTCATGCCCTGCATCCAATTGACTTGCAAATGACGTTCACTCATGTCCACTGTTTATGTTTGGTCCAAATCAACTTCACTGTTCACCTGAACACTTGTAATAGTCTCTGGTTGACCTTACTGCTTCTGCCTGTGAGCTATCACAATAGTGGTTTAAGCCGGCCAGTGGTGGCGCACGCCTTTAGTCCCAGCATTTGGGAGGCAAAGGCAGGTGGATTTCTGAGTTCGAGGCCAGCCTGGTCTACAGAGTGAGTTCCAGGACAGCCAGGGCAACACAGAGAAACCCTGTCTCAAAAACAAACAAACAAACAAACAAACAAACACAAGAAAAAAACAAAAAACAAAAACACAATAGTGGTTTGAAAATCTTGTTTATACCCAAGTGTAGTGTTGCACAACTTTAATCCCAGCACTTGGAAGGCAGAGGTAGGTGGACTTTGGTGAGTTATATCCTCTAGGACAGTCCACTCTACACAGCGAGTTCCAGGACAGGCCAAGCTATATAGCTATATAGTGAGACCCTGTCTCAAAAAAACAAAACAAACGCCGGGCGGTGGTGGCGCACGCCTTTAGTCCCAGCACTTGGGAGGCAGAGGCAGGTGGATTTCTGAGTTCGAGGCCAACCTGGTCTACAGAGTGAGTTCCAGGACAGCCAGGGCTACACAGAGAAACCTTGTCTCGAAAAACCAAAAAAAAAAAAAAAAAAAAAACCAACAACAACAACAACAAAAAAACCAAGTATATAGTGATTAGGCTGGTTGGTTGGTTTTTGGTTTGGTCAAGTTGACAAAAAAGCTAGAATCATATGAAAGAGAGAACTTCAATTGAGAAAATGAGCCCATTATATTGCTTGTAGGTAAATCTATGGACTTTTTTCTAAAAACTACTTATGTGTTTGAGTGTTTTGCCTGCTTGTATCCATGTGCATGACTGGTACCTAATGACCCATTCACTCCCCTAAAACTAGAGTTATGGATTGCTGTGGGTGCTGGGAATCGAACCCAGATCCTCTGCAAGAGCAACAAGTGTTCTTAAATGCTGAGTCACCTCTACAGCCCTGTGGTTATTTTCTTGATTAATGATCGGTCTAGGAGGGCTCGATCCATTGTGGGTGATACCACTGCTAGGCAAGTAGCCCTGGAGGTGTAAGAGAGGCGTTTAATGGGCACCCTAGAGAGTAAGTCAGTGATCGGCACCCCTCATGCTCTCTGCTGAGTTCCCATCAAGACGGACTGTGATCAGCACATGAAAGCCAAATAAAATCTTTCCTGAGGTCAGTTTTGGCCAGTGTTTACACATGGCAACAGAAAGCAAACTAGGTCATGTGGTTTAGAGCAAATCAAAACTAGACCTCAGATTATCTCTCATTTCTCCCTCCTTGTAGCCTTTTTGTTGTTTTTTGGTTTTGTTTTTTTGTTTGTTTGTTTTTCGAGACAGGGTTTCTCTGTGTAGCCCTGGCTGTCCTGGAACTCACTCTGTAGACCAGGCTGGCCTCGAACTCAGAAATCCGCCTGCCTCTGCCTCCTGAGTGCTGGGACTAAAGGTGTGTGCCACCACTGCCCAGCCCTTGTAGCCTTTTTTTTAAAGATTAATTTTTATTTATTATGTAGTGTTCTGCCTGCATGTATGCAAGCTTGCAGGCCAAGAGAGGGCACCAGATGTCACTATAGATGGTTGTGAGCCACCATGTAGTTGCTGGGAATTGCACTCAGGACCTCTGGAAGAGCAGCCAGTGTTCTTAATCTCTGAGTCATCTCTCCAGCCCACTATCTTCTTTTCTAATCTTCCTCCCATGTTTCTCTACCCCTCCCCCATTCTCAGCCTGGAATTCGCTATGTAGCTCAGAAGGCCTTTAGGCCTAAGATACTCCTTCCTGACTTAGCCTTCCAAGTGCTAGACTACAAGCAAGCACCACCATGCCTCTTTCTTCAGGGAAACAATGGAATCAGATAGGCATGCACTTAGACCCTATCTATGCTCCTTTGTCTCACAGGTTACTTCCAGAACTCAGATCTTGAACGTCCAATTCTCCTCCCTCAGCCTACTGAGTGATGGGATTACAGATTATGTAATAGTAAGTCTGGCTTTATCTTAATTTGCCCCTTAAACGGTTTCTGTAAGGAAGTTTGTTTTATTTTTGAGACATAGCCGGGCGGTGGTGGCGCACACCTTTAATCTCAGCACTTGGGAGGCAGAGGCAGGCGGATTTCTGAGTTTGAGAGTTCGAGGCTAGCCTGGTCTACAGAGTGAGTTCCAGGACAGTCAGGACTACACAGAAAGACCCTGTCTCGAAAAAAAAAAATTTTTTTGAGACATGGTCCACTATGTAGTTCTGGCTATCCTGTAATTCCCTATTCATAAGATGCTGGATGATCCAACTCAGACACCCACCTGATTAAAGGTGTGTACAACCATGGGATTTAAAGTATTTTGAGATAGGGTCTCTCACACTGTAGCCCTGGCTAGCCTCCAACTCCTAGCAATCCCCCTGCCTCGGCCTCCTGGATGCGGGGTGTGTGTGTGTGTGTGTGTGTGTGTGCCTAGCTGAATCCTTTTAACTTTTAAATCTCCTCATGTGCCTTGGTTCCACTTACATTTTTCTCCTGTTAATTGAGATTCAAGTCCTAAAAACATAACTCAACGATTACGTGTAGCAACCATGGCCAAGTCTGGTCACAAGGTCTAGAAATTTCAACGGAAGAAAACCTCAAAAGCCTAACCAACACACTTCCCTTTCCCCCCAATCATTTGGGGGTTTGTTTTGTTTTGTTGAGACCGGTTCTCACGCAGCCCAGACTGGCTTGGAATTTGCTCTGTAGCTGAGGCTGGTTTTGAACTCCTGATCCTCCTACCGCTACCTCCAAAACGCAGGGAGGGGGTATGTGTCACCACTCCCTGACCTCTTACCATTTATACATTTCTTCTGCTCTTTAAAAAGATGAGTGATTGGACTACCTAAATTATCTACCGTTAATTCCTAGCCGCGTTTCTCTATCTTATTTTTTTTTCTTCCTGCATCGCCTCGCCTTCCACTAACGCTGGTGTCGCTGTAGGAACTCCGTGCCGCCCTCCTCCCCGCTCCTGCAGCTCCCGGGCGGCTCGTCTACCCAGGACCTCCCCGTCTGCACCCTGCAGCCACCGCTCTCGCACCAATAAAGATGGGTGTCGCTCTCGCAACTCCAGCGGTCGGTCGGGAAAACGGAAGCAGGCCACAGCCGCCCGGAACCCGCCTCCCGAGAGCGGAAGTACGACCGGAAGCTAGCCATAGAAGCGAGTGGCTAGAGCGGCCCTGCGGGGAGGTGGCAGGAAAGGCTGGGAGCCGCTGCCGGAGGTGACGGAGCGACCGCCCCGCCCCGTGCGCTGGAAGACCGAGGCTTCCAGGTAGCTGTCGGTCGCAGTCTGTCCAGGGGTACGACCTGGCCTTGGGCGCAGCCCCGCGGATCCGGGGCTGCCTCTTTAAGGGAGGGGGTGGAGCCACGAGTGAGGAGCGAGAAGGTGAGGTCACGTGGTTGCGGACACGTGCAAGACACGCGTTGAGAGCTGGGTGTTCGTCGTCGTTGGGGTAGACACCATGTACCATCTCTTCCCTCCCTGGCTCATCTGTCTTGGAACTCAATGGGGTGCACGTGGTGGGGCTTGGGACTGTGCCCGGGATGGGTGGGCGTGGCGGCCAGGATGTGGCCGACTTCCTTTAAGGAACCCTTTTAGACCTCTTGACCTGATTGCTCATGCAGAAGTGGCTTAGGCCCTCCTGAGTGCAGTTCCCTGCCCTTGAGCTGACCATCCTCACACGGTTCAGGGACCTTTAGTTTTACGTTCCTCTTTCCTTACAGCTCCAGAAAACTTGAGGCCAGAGCCCCGCACCTCGGTGCAGCCATGAGTGCGGAGGTGAAGGTGACAGGGCAGAACCAGGAGCAGTTTCTGCTCCTTGCCAAGTCGGCTAAGGGGGCAGCACTGGCCACACTCATCCACCAGGTGCTGGAGGCCCCTGGCGTCTACGTGTTTGGGGAACTGCTGGATATGCCTAACGTTAGAGAGGTGTGTTGCTTACCAGTAACCACTCAGGGTACTCATAATTAGCTATCAACTTGGAAAAGTAATCAATCAAATAAACGTCTTCATTTCCCGTATCTCTTAGACAAAAGGGATCTGTAAACTTAGTGCTCCTTCCTTCTGTAGCCACACTTTGAGTCAAAGTTTCACTGTAGTCCTGGCTGCCCTAAACTAGTAAACATGGTCTGGGCTGGCCTTGAATGTGTAGGGATCGTCCTGCCTATGTCTCATGCATAAGTTTTTAAAATAATAATTTTTTTTAATTTAAAAATATGGAACACTTTACAAATTTGAGTGTCATCTTTGCTCAGGGGCTATGCTGATCTTCTCTGGATTGTTCTGGTTTTAGTATGTGTGCTGCTGAAGCAAGCACAAATTTTTAATTTTTAAGCAAAAGAATATGTCATCCAGAATACCCACTTGTAAATTCTAGCTTGTTCACCAGTATGATATCTTTTTGTTGTTGTTGTTGTTTTTCAAGACAGGATTTCTCTATGTACTATAACTCTTGTGTTTTGGAACTTTCTTTGTAGACCAGGCTGGCCTTTAACTCAGAGATCCACCAGCCTCTGCCTCTTCCTCCCAAGTGCTTGGATTAAAGACATGTGCTGCCATACCCGCCTAGTGATACCTCTTAATAATCCTGTCAGCATTTGGAAGGTCAAAACAGGCAGATCTCTGAGTTTGAGGCCAGCCTGATCTACAGATTGAGTTCCAGGACAGCCAGGGCTACACAGAGAAACCCTGTCTCGAAAAACAACACATCATATCACCTGGATCAGAAAAACCTTTAGGTCTCAGTTTTCTCTTTAAAACGGTGATGAGAACTGAAATGGCTGGTAGAGCGGTTGCCTAGCATTTGTGAGGCCGTGGCTTCCTTGTCAGAATTTGGGATGCTAAGGTAGGGGACCACAGATTTTAGACCAGTCTGGGCAACTTAGACTCCATCTCAAAAAGGAGTAGGGCCCTTGTCTATAGTATGTAAGGCTGAGTATAGGTTCAGTTCTCAGAACTGCAATGAGAAAAACCTATACAGTACTTCCCCTCACAGTTCCAGAAGTAACAATTGTGGGGAAGTCTGAAGTCTAACATGGGAGAGGATGAACATATTGAATTATGCCATGTTACCCCAGTGTCGCACATTCTAATTCATTTAAGGTAGATAATGAACATGCTGTCTTCTTTCCTAAGACAGTGTCAAACTGCTGTGAGCATCGTGATGAGAACCACTCACAGAAATGGCGGAGTCAAGAACTTAAAAAGTATAGAGCAGGTGGATTGCCAACCCCGTGACACCAGCGTGTCGTGAGGGGCTGACAGTAGTGTGCGGCTACACTGAGCCAAGCGTTAAAAGGCCTTTGGTTGAATCAGAGGATGGAGTGGTTTTTGGATTGCTGTTTCACAACAAACTGGCTTTTGTTCCTGGGTTATCCACAGTGAACTAAAGTATATCCTTAAGACGAAGTAGAAGAAGCATTTCCAGCCTGTATTCCAGTGAGAGAGATAGGATAAATGGGTGAAGATGCATAAGTCAGCCACTTATCAGTAATTTACTGTGAGGGCCACAGCTCCACTGGGTCCTTGTAGGCTAGCAGACGCTGGGTCTATAGCCCTGTTAAAAGATATTGTTAGGTGAGAACCTTCAGGGATGACGTGCCAGGATACGTGGTGGTGACAGGAGGGAGAGATGCTGCAAATGATCTAAGACCTTACTATGAGGTCATTCTGAGGCAGTGGCCACAAACTATACCCTCTGGCCCACATAATTTACAGTGTCTGGGGTGTGCTCGGAACACTAAAAGTTTTCAGCTCTGATTGAAAACAGGAGGTAGCCGCATAGCACAGCTCAGGGCTAGTGGCAGAAACGAGCCCCTGATGGACCAGGGTAGGTACTGTTGAGAAGGACGGGGTCAGAAAGCTGAGGTCAGACACGGTCCTCTTGTCACTTCCTTGTGTTCCCGCAGCTGGCAGAAAGCGACTTCGCCTCGACGTTCCGGCTGCTCACAGTGTTCGCCTATGGGACCTATGCTGACTACTTAGGTAAATGGGCCAGAGCTTTGGACACTGGAGAAGGGTGGTTTCTGGAGAAACTTGGAAGAACTTCCTGGCTTGCCCTACTTCGATGCCATAAGTGAACCTGGGTAGTGTTAGACCATAATTGGTGCAGTAAACTTGTAGGAAACTGCTAAAACCAATATTTCCGGGCTTCTGTCCCTGTCTCTAGCTGAAGCCAGGAATCTTCCCCCTCTTACTGAGGCTCAGAAGAATAAGCTTCGACATCTGTCAGTTGTCACTCTGGCTGCCAAAGTCAAGGTAAGTGACAGTCCTGCCGGCTGCCAGTCCAAAGCCAGAGACTACCTGTTGTGAGTCCGGGGGCGTCTGCAGGAGAGCTATTGGCCTCCCTGTCTGGGTCTGAACTGAGGTTCCGTTACTGAAGTCATTTAGTCAGGAGTCTCTCGGTTTGAACTGAAGTTCTAAGTCATTGTCTTTTGTGATTGGCATCAGAATAGCCACTAGACTGTTGGCCTGTCTAATTCACCTTTTGGTGTTCCAGGCCAACAAAGCCTCAGAGCTAGAAATGGGGTTCTCCCCCACTTGCTGTAGTAAGATGTGTGAGACCCACATGTACCTGTGTGCCCCTGTGGGCACAGTCTCTTGTTATGTCGTCACAGGATTCTCCCAGTTGTTAGCTAGAATTGAGTCCTGGTGGTTTCTGCTGGAATTGGGCTCGTGGCTGTAGATTCCTCAGAGGTAATGCCAGTGTGTAACATGGCTGACTCTACAGGTTAAACTAACTCCAGACCCCTCCTAGCCTCTGATGTCACACTCATCTGAAACAGTTTGCTTAGCTACGGCCAAAGAAATGGCACCAGGAAGATGTCACACTCTTCCACTACACAGTGGGAGGTGGGCATAGTAGGAGAGCATCTGTCACGTGCTTTAAGATTGTCTCTTTTGAGTCTGGTGTGTGTCTCATGTAAGCCCAGTGCTTAGGAGTCTGAAGCAGGACTAATGTGAGTTCCAAGGCAGCCTGGCCTATAGAATGAGACCCTGTGTCAGAATACTACGAAAGAAAAGGAAGGAAGGAAATAAAGGCTGAAAGATTATCTTTTTTTGATGATATTTTTGAGGCTGTAATTGGTTTTGCTTTAGAACCAACATTTTCCAGGAAATGATTTATGGATAGGAGTGGAGGGATGGGGCCTGGCATTGGGGAAGAAATGGGAGAGGATTCTGGAAGGTCCTTCTCTGCTTTTGAACCCCACAAATTCTGGTCTGACCTCTGGACCCAGTGTATCCCATATGCAGTGCTGCTGGAGGCCCTTGCCCTTCGGAACGTGCGCCAGCTGGAGGACCTCGTGATCGAGGCTGTGTACGCCGACGTCCTGCGTGGCTCTCTGGACCAGCGCAATCAGCGGCTAGAGGTGGACTACAGCATCGGACGGGACATCCAGCGCCAGGACCTCAGTGCCATCGCCCAAACCCTGCAGGAGTGGTGAGAACTTGTCAGGCCTCGACCCCTCCCTTCTTATACAAGCAGGAGAGAGCAGGGACTGGGCTGCGGAGGGTTAGCCTAAGAGAGAAAGAGACCAGTGCTTTCTTCCCAAGGCTTCTGAGGGAACCGAGGCTCAAAGGGGCCCGGTACAGAGTCAGGGTTATTGGAGCAGGATTGGGGAAAGGAATGAGAGCTGTGCTCTCCACAGCTCTTAGTGGGAGGCTTGTCACTGTCGTAGGCTGCGTTTAGGACAACTGCACATAACACCAGGAGCTGTGACAAGTTTCTTTCCTTTTCCTCTTTGTATCCCTGTCTGACTTTATTGTGCTCTTGCTCTGTACCGCAAGCTGGCCTTGCATTGGCAGTCCTCCCTCTGTGTCCGGGTTTTGAGATCACAGGCGTGCGCTGCTGTGCACCGCCATGCCTGGCTCTCCCGTTTCCTTTCCTGGTTCCTACTCTCATCTTGCTATTGATTTATTTTTATTCTTAGTTATGCATGTGTATGTGATAGACAGAGGGGTGCTGGTGGGTGCAGGTGCTCACGGGGCCAGGGGTCAGATCAGATCCCCTGGGGCTGGTGGATGTGAGCACCCAGTGTGGGTGCTCTGGAGGAGCAGGCTGTGGGCACAGGCACCACCCCACCCACCTTGTCTGGTTCACCCACCTACCTCCTTATCTCTTTCTTATCCTGCCCTTGGGGGGGGGGGGGTTTGCTGAGGAGAAAGGACAGTGTGGCTGGTTCCCAGGTGCCCTGGTGAGGGTTCCCAGCTCAGGCCAGGGTTTCCAGTCCAGCTCGCAGGCTTGCTTTTGAGGCTTTTGCTTTTGTTTTTTTTTGTTGTTGTTGTTGTTTTGTTTTTTATGAGGCTGTGATTACTGCCTCCTCCTGCTGACGTTTTTTTCATCTGCCCTGATTCCCACAGGTGCGTAGGCTGTGAGGTTGTGCTGTCAGGCATTGAAGAGCAAGTCAGTCGTGCCAACCAGCACAAGGAGCAGCAGCTGGGCTTGAAGCAGCAGATCGAGAGTGAGGTAAGCAGACCGAACACGATGAGCTGGAGCTCTCCAGCCTGGCCCAGACCGGGGCTGAGGCGTGGCTGAGGCCCACTGATTAAATAATCGGCCTGTCCGGTTCTGGAGCCTCCTGTGGCTATCCCTCATTCCTTTCTTCCTGATAGGTTGCCAACCTTAAGAAAACCATTAAAGTTACCACAGCAGCCGCTGCTGCGGCTACTTCACAGGATCCTGAGCAACACCTGACAGAGCTGAGGGAACCGGCTCCTGGCACCAACCAGCGCCAGCCCAGCAAGAAAGCCTCAAAGGGCAAGGGGTGAGCCCGTGTGGGAGCCGCTTGTCTCTGGGTACCCCACTTTTACCTCAGGGACCTGGCTGCTCCACTTGCTTTAGTCATTTGCATGGGGTCGGGAGTGGGGGTGTCCTCCAGGAATTAGGGGACCCCTTGCATCCCCTCTCTCTCTCTTCCCCTTGCCAGACTCCGAGGGAGCGCCAAGATTTGGTCCAAGTCGAACTGAAAGGACTTGTTTCTTCCCTGGGAGTGTGGGGTCCCAGCTGCCTACCTGCCTACCCCTTAGGAGTCCTCAGAGCCTTCCTGTGCCCCTGGCCAGCTGATAATGCTAGCTCATGACTTTTCATCTCCTCACCCCCAAGCATAAGCCACACCCTCTGTGGGAGGAGGCCCATCGGGGTCATGTTATGTTAGTACTTCTTCCCCACCACGCTTGCCCTCACTGTCTTCAGCACCATGTTTGCCCATTACCCTGTCATTGAGCAGGTCGGCAGTCCTACGGAGGGTGCTGGCTCTTCACTACATACCTGCCCCTGCATGCCTGATCCGCAGTCCCTCCTCCCCTTGCCTAGTGGGCTGCGGCTGGAAAGCCATGGGGAAGGGGGTCTCCACCTTCATCCCAGCCTTAGAGTTCTGGAGCCAGTCTGCTGCCCTGGGAGTTGCTGGACATTTTCCTCCCAGAACCCCATCACACTACAGTTGTTTCTTGTCCTCTCTCATCTCCTTGGGCCTGGGGATACTGCTGCTTCAGTGACCCCAGAGCCTGAGAACAGCTATTTTTGAGATGTTAAGAAATGGTTCTTTGTTAGCTAATCATTTTAGGAAGCCCGATGGAAATCCTGGAAGGATTGATATTTCCTCCTGTGGTTTTGGTGGGGAAGGAAATATAGATTGTATATTAAAAATAAAAAGTATATATGCATAGGTCTATATATAACATGACACAGAAATAAATCTATGAGAAATCTATGTACAAAAATGCCAGGAACTGGGCCTCTTCTGTCTTTGATGTTTGTTAACAGGGAGAAGAGTAATCCCCAGTCCACTGTAAAGCCAAGTGCCAAATGAAAAGAACCAGATACTTTGCAGACTCTGGGCCTAGGACCTAGGAGGCCTAGACCCTGGACAGATTGCTCCATCCCTCAGCCCATGGTCAGCAGTAACGATCACCTACTGAGCACCGCCATGTCCTAACAGTGGAGATGCAGACTGACCATCACTGTCCCTGCCTAAGGACCTGCAGTGTAGTCTGCTTCCATTCACCTCAGAGAACCACAAGACTTTTTACATTGAAAGCACATAAAACTATTAGATTTGTTGGTCTCTGTCCCTTTTGTCCACATTAAGATCCAAGAAGTACCTATGCCAGGAGATTCCCTAGAGCACTGCTTGCTCCCTTGAGGTGGAAAGTGCTAACTAACTTGAGGGGCATTGAACCCTCATGCAAATATGAAGTGCTATCTGAGAGCCTAATGGGTCTAGTGTTGGCCGGGCCTGTGCTGGGCCTGTACTGTTCTCTAGCTGGGGATTTAGGACCAATTCCTTCCTTCCTTTCCTTCCTTCCTTTCTTTCCTTCTTTTCTTTTCTTCCTTTCCTTTGACACATGGTCTTTCTATGTAGCCTTGCCTCTCTTGGAGTGCACTGTGTAGACCAGACTGTCTCAACTCAGATTTACCTACTTCTGCTCCAGCCACCATCATTACCAGCCACCAAATTACTTCTTTTCCCCTCTTTCCCTTCTCCCTCTCACTCTGGCTTGAGGTTTGTTTGTTTGTTTACTTACTTGTTTATTATATGTAAGTATTCTGTAGCTGTCTTCAGACACCCCATAATTGGGCATCAGATCTCCTGAACTCAGGACCTCCAGAAGAGCAGTCAGTGCTCTTAACCACTGAGCCATCTCACCAGCCCAACAAACTACTTTTAGTTGCTCCTAAAAGCTTGTTGTCATTGGATGAGAAAGTAAGGGCAGAGTTCTGGTGGTTGGTGGTTTGGTGTGTATGGGGTAGTTACTGTAGTTTGGAGACAGTCCTGTGTTTCAGGCTGGCCTTGAACAAAGGCTGACCTTGGATTTAGTATCCTCCTGCCTCCAGCGGAGCACTGGGATCACAGGTGTTCACTGCCAGACTTGATTGAGTTTACACTCTTGGTTACTCAGCTTTCTGAAATAAGCTAATTGATTCTCTTGCCTCTGAAATAAATGCCCCAGATGCTCCAGTATGTAGAAGGTGCCAGTTTCTGGTGGTGTGAGCAAGCCCTCAGAACCCTTGTAATCTAGTTATCTCCTTTTCTTGTAGGTTGGTTCCAGACCAACCTTCTATAGTCAACAGCTCTAAAATCCAAGCTGGGTTTGAACTGCCTGGCTTCATTCCTAAGGAAGTGGGGGGACCTGTTCATGTCCTGTCCCTCAGGACACATTGTAGTGTGGTCTTGATGCACCAGGAGGGCTCCTGCTTCCCAGCAAAGGGGAAGGGAAGATAATTGCTGGGGAAGTATCGAGAGCTCAGTTGTTTTTGTTTCTGTTTTGGTTTTAGTTTCTCTTTTTTTTGGGGGGGAGGGGGAAGTTTCGAGACAGGGTTTCTCTATATAGTCCTGGCTGTCCTGGAACTCACTCTGTAGACCAGGCTGGCCTTAAACTCATAGAGATCCACCTGCCTCTGCCTCCCAAGTGCTGGGATTAAAGGCTTGCCACTATGCCTGTTAAGAGCTCAGTTTTTAATGATGACATTTGTTCAAAGGTTAAGGATTCCATGTCCTCATGACACTAGGGAAGTCCTCTTAACCATATCACCTACACACGTGCTTATATATGCTGACCCCTCCTGTGTTCCCGTCTTAGATGTCCACCCCTGAATCATCCTGAAAGTCCAGAGTTGATACACATGAAACATGGTAAATCCTTAAGCCGGGGGCTCGAGTGAGACATGGCTCAGTGGGTGACCTGTTTGCTGTGCATGCTCGGAGTTCAGGTCCTCAGAATCCACTGTAGACTGTGCTAGGGTATGGCTATAATCCCAGTGCTTCCAAGAGATGAGAAATAAAGACAGTACCAGGAAGCTCATGAGCCAGCTAAGTGGCCAAACAGTGGGGGAAGAGGTATGTGTGGTGACCGGAGACCCTCTGTCCAACGAGACAGAACTCTCAAGTAAAGACTTGGCCAGTCAGAGGCAATGGTATAGCCTTGTTCCAGCTTGGCAGGCTGAGGCAGGAGGCTTTCAAATTCAAGACTGGCCTAAGCTACGTATTAAGGTCCTGTCTCAAAAATACACAAGAGCTGGGCAGTATAGCTCATTGATGGAGTGTTTACCTACTGCTCCTAAGACCATGGCTTTGATCCCTATTGTCAATACCCTGTGTAAAGTTACCTACCCCCTTGAGCTGACAAGGCTCAACCTGTTGATTCCAGGCCCAATAAAACCATGAGTTTAATCCCTGGGACCTGAATGGAATGAGAGAATGAACTCCTGAAGGTTGTTCATGCAGCAACCCCGTGTAGTGGTGTGTGTCTCTGTTGGGGGGTGTTCATGAATAACATTTATTTATTTTAAAGATTTATTTTTATGTTAGTACACTGTTGTTCTCTTCATGCACACCAGAAGAGGGCATCAGGTCCCATTAGAGATGGTTGTGAGCCACCATGTGGTTTTTGGAAATTGAACTCAGGACCTCTGGAAGAGCAGTCAGTGCTCTTAACCGGCTGAGCCATCTCTCCAGCCCCATAAATAACATTCAATAACAAGCAGAAATTCTGAAAAAAATAGGAAGTAGGTACACACAGAGCATGTCTAGTCTGATTTTCTTTCTTTTGCTTGTTATATTTGTGTTTTTAAATTTCTAATTTAATGTGTGTGCTTGCTTGCTTGTGTCTGTGCACCATATGTGTGCCTGAGTGGTGCCAGCAGCGGCCAAAAGAGCACATCAGATCCCCAGGAACTGGAGTTACAGAGAGTTCTGAGCCACCCTGTGGGTGCTGGGAATCAAGCCTGGGTTCTCTGCAAGAGCAGCCTGTGCGCCTACCCACTGAGTCATCTCTCCAGGCCCTCTCTTGAAAACCCTGAAATTTAAAAAATGAAATAGAAATTAGCTTACAAAGTAGTGGGTTTCCATAGTTTTGTTACCCAAGGTTTTTGGTTTCCCTGTGTAATGGAGATTGCTCCCCGCCCATCCTCTGCTCAGTCTGTTTAGTTTGCTTTGGTTGGAGACAGGATTTCCTCACTATCTGACCTCTGTCTCCAAGTGCTGGGATTATAGGCCTGGGGCATCATACATACCTACAGCCGGTATTTTATAGAATTTTTCCTTTTGTCTTTTGAAATAGGATCTTGCTATGTAGTAGAAACTGACCTGGAACTTCCTTTGTGGTGTTTTATAAAATTCTGTTAGAGGTCAGAAACTCCCAGAGGCGGGAGACGTTGGCTCATTGTTTAAGGGTGCATACTACACTTGCAAAGGACCCAACCCCCACGGTTGGCTTACAAAGGACGTGACTTACAACTGCCTGGAACTTCAACTCCACGAGGGCTTAATGATTGGCACCTGCATTCGCTTGAACATAGCCACACACAGGCACACACATATCTACAATAGTAACTGCAGAAAATCCTGTGAAATCCATGCATTAAAATGCTACTGAAACTCATAAGTGAGAGGGAAATTTTTCTCTACTTAGGTGAGTAGTCTAACAGGTGGGTAGAGCAGAGTTTAGGGACACAAAGCACTGTGTCACTGTGCAGGACAGCAGCCTGAACTTTTTAAGAGGCTTAAGGCAGCATGGTGGTGTATCCCTGTAACTCCTGCATTTATGATGCTGAGGCAGAATTGCTACAAGTTTGAGGCCAGCCTGGGCTACTGGTATCAGGCTACCTAGGTCTATGTAGCAAGGCCCTGTCACAAAACAAAATCCCCTAGCATACTGTCTTTGGTAGTATGAAACCAGGTAGAGCTGCTGAGTTCTGGCTTCCATGTTTCTCACAAGGCTGCAAGTAAGTCGTGAGCCAGTGGGCTTGAGTTTAACTTGGTGGAATAGTTGCCTGTCATGGGTTTGATCTCCAGTACAATAAAAGAAAAGGTGTTTGGTAAGGTCATGGTTGTCTCAAGGCTCAAGTGTGCCCGACTGGGCTTCTAGACTCAGTGGTGGTCTTCAGGAATCACTTCATGGGTGACTGGACTGAGGATCCTACGAGGTCACTGACCCATGGCTAGTGTCCACTCAGGTAGTCCCCACCTTTATAGAAGAACACAAAGACCACAACAAGGTGAAGTCACGGTCATAGCCCATCATTTCCACCACTGGGCAACCCAATATGTTTTCAAGAGCGGGGAAGAAAGCAAGGAGCATAGGTAGCCCTGATGAAAAGTGCTCACCAAAGGCATCTGGGGTGGGAGGAGAAGTTCTTGAGGCAGCCACGGGGGATGGGAATGGAAGAGCGTGGGGGCAGGGGGAGTAAGACTTGGTCTTTTTGGGTTTTTTTTTGGGTTTTTTTTTTTTTTTGGATTTTTGAGACAGGGTTTCTCTGTATAGCCCTGGCTGTCCTGGAACTCACTCTGTAGACCAGGCTGGCCTCAAACTCAGAAATCTGCCTGTCTCAGCCTCCCAAGTGCTGGGATTAAAGGCGTGCGCCACCACCGCCCGGCCTCTTTTATTTTTTTAAAGATGTATTTATTTATTTTATTATGAGTACACTGTAGCTGTCTTCAGACACACCAGAAAAGGGCATCGGATCCCATCACAGATGGTTGTGAGCCACCATGTGGTTACTGGGATTTGAACTCAGGACCTCTGGAAGAGCAGTCCATGCTCTTAACCACTGAGCCATCTCTCCAGCCCAAGAAAAAAATTCTAACAAAGGAAAAATTCTAAGCAGGGGAAAAGGAAAGGATGAATGGCTCCTTACAAATGTCTACGTCTACGACTACTATGACTACTACTCTGTCTTTGTCTTCAGTACTTCTGCATCTTTCAGAGTACATGGTCACATGTTACAAAGT